TAGGAACGATAATGATAACTGTTTGGCGGAATAGAGATATTTCACAATCCATTTGACATGATGTAACCAGTTTCCCAATTTTGTCACATTCAAAACTACAGAGTCGGTCAGTGAGGTTTGTCTTGTTGGAACTGTTCCTATCAAACCTTCGAGTTCCCTCTACATGGTTCGTTTTTTTTATGCGGGGCGAACGTTGAGATGACACAGAGTTCCTGCAATGCAATTTGCACCCGCGTATACTGGGTCTTGATTTGACTGGCTTACAACGTCATTCCACTATGCAAGGCCATCAGACGACCTTGGAAGTTACACTTTTATTCGTAATGTTTTGGAATATTGGTAGCTCGGGTGTATTGGTTGGTAATTGATCAGGTGGCTGTTGATCTGTTCGCCGAGCTTGGCAATTGNTCCTCGAATGGTGACGAAACGTTTGCAAATCAATTGCCAAGCTCGGCGAACAGATCAACAGCCACCTGATCAATTACCAACACTTTTATTCGTCACACAGACCCTTACCTGCTCAGTTTTTGTGTGCATGCTCAAGGCGTAAAGTGCGTAGGCTTGATGACCGTGTCTGTTAGTTAACTAACTACGCCATGTGCGTGCTCTTTATCATAACTCAGTAATTCTCGCTTAGGCAGAGCACACATTCTGTACAACCGTAGTCAGAGAATCTCACCTTCCAGTACATAATAAATGATCGATTTGGTTTTGAACGGAAAATCGATGAGTTTGTAAGGAGCAGTTAACTAGGTCCAATACATGCGGACGTTTTAGGAATGCTTACAAGATCAGTTTAGACTAATATTTTTTTCAATGTTCATTTGAAAGACTGCGTTGGCAGTGCTTTATATTATTTTTTGTTATTTCAAGACTGCCCACGCAAATTCACACGTGCCTTGTAAAGATGAGTCGTTAAACAGTGTGTTCTCTCTTGTCACATTTGTGAGTGGGCGCAAAGATGGATTCCCAAAACGCTCGACCAGTTGGAAGTTCACGTGGAATGGCTAACAGCCTAATTCCCATATGAGCGTGGGCTGGTTAAGACGCTGCCTACAGCAAAAGACGCGTTTGTAGCTCATACCGCGCAAAACAATGAGGAATGTTTCCGGAAGAGGCTCTAGTCTCTGATGATGACCTCGAATGCGTCGTTGAAATCCGTAGAACCGCAGTGATGGGGGCGCAGAAGAAAGGTCTCCATTGATTTCCGCAGCTTTAGGGTAGCAGGTTGCCAACAAAACCAAGCAAAATGTACACCCAGTACTACGCAAATTAGGCTTATCCAGGCCTCCAAGAAGACCTCTGTGAATTGCTCAGCTTATGCTTAATTGTTTGTTTTGAATTCAACGGGGAACAGCATGAACAAATACAAGGAGCACCAATGGGGTGGGCAATTTCTGGACTTATCGCGGAAAATGCAGTGTACTCCCTGGGTGTAAATCCCAGAATATGGATCCGCCACATGTACGATACTTTTTTCGTCATCAAACAATGTGAACTACAATCAACAACGTTTCGGATGCCATCTAGTTCACCATGAGATAGAAAACTGACGGAAAGCTGGCATTCGTGGAAATTCTTTTCACGAGATTGCCAAGCGGACTGGTTGCTCAGCTGGCACTTAACCAAATTCGAACGGTTATTTTCTGGTGGTGTTGCCTTCTAACTTTTAGCAGGATCTGCATCCGACCCTATCCCTACACCGTGACTCATTCAAACACCTAATGACCTGGTGTTGATGGGAGACTCATCTGAATTACATCTAAGTCTTGGGTTTCTCATATCTAAGTGAAATTCAGCTGAGTCTCCCATCAACAACAAAACATCATAAGCGAGAGATTCAGCTGGGTTCCAGGTGAGTCCTTAGAAAAACCAAATTAGCTTGCAACTGAATGTATCTCGCGAATTTCGTGCAATTTGGTTTCAAGTAGAACATGGGGTTCATGGAAACTCGAGGACTGCGCCTACCTGATGAGCCCGAAGAAGGGTGAAACCGCCCGTGGGTTGTCAGGGAGTTTTCAGCAACCTTATGAGTAGTGCATTACAAAAATAATACCAACTCACAAACTAACTGCTGATCAAAACACACGTACAGTCTGATGTTCAGTTTGGAAACAAGCTTGGTAACTCAGGGGGGTCGCTCAAGTGGCTAGAGCGAACCGGACGGTCCGTAGTTCGAACCCGACCTCTGCTTCTCGACTACCCCTGCCTAGGCTTGGGAAACCTGGAAGTATATAAGCCCTCGTGCTTCCTTCTGGTAGCATGGCAGTTAGGTACCGAAAAGATGCTACAGTTGGATTATTTATTATTCGATTTTTGATAATTCAGGAACTAAGCCTAAGCCCCAAGCAAATTAAACAAGCGGTGAGCTGTCCAGAGTCTTCATAGAACTTCTGAATACTGCCGCAACCGAGAAACATGGTTTCTACGACCCTATTTGAAGTAACTCATACAACCCATAGTTTTGTACCACACAAGCCGGTAAAAGCTATCGATTTCCGTCAATAGCGGAGGGCAAGCACGAAGTGAACTCCGTCAGTCTGATTGGCTGCGGAGAATCGGCGATTTATGCGTTCAGAGGTTCAGAAAGACACATCTTCAGGACTGCGTAAAATTGTCCTGATATTGAGATGCCATATCTTGAGAAATACTGTGTTGGCAGCGGTTTTTCGCGCCATCAAGCGCCGTACAGTGAGGAATGGTTAAGTAGAAATCGACTCACTGTGTTTTCTAGACGCAACCACTGACAACCGTTCTTCTTCGTGCTGTCTGTGAGAGAAATGAGTGGACACTGCCGAAGCCTTACAGTATGGGAATCTGTTTTTTTTTTCAACTATTTTCCCGGCACTAATTTCACTCCGATTTCAAAGTACCTCAACCTTGTTAATCGTGAAGAAAGCCCTACAGACTGTCACTAACAACTAACTTCATATGCTACAAAATAAAACAGTCAGAGGGGCATCCGCTCGTGACCGAACGGTTAAATGTTCAAACTACAAACAGAGAGATCGCAGGTTTGAAACTCCCGACGGGAGTTCCGTGAGATGCGCACTGTTGATGATTCCCGATGAGGACGAAGCGGCAGTTCAGTGCTTCCCATCTTTTTAGCATCAACGACAGGACGTAATCTCTATTTGAAAAACTAGCATACTTTTCAGTTTTGGTAATACCACGCTTATCTCCATCTCCACGCCCTGATCATATGCCAGGTCAGATTGTTCTCATTCCATCCCACTCCAATTGGCCCAATACATCCACAGAAAACATAGAGGAAGGAATAATCCTAGAACATTCTCGTTGTATGTGTTGTACGAATGAGGTCCAGCGGACTGTACACCTCGCTTAAGTTGGTTATTGGGGGAAAAACAACTTTAAGTGGAACTGCTCTGTGAAACACGAACGCGTGATCAAAACACTTCACACAGATTCACGTTGGTTACGAAATTTCCTTTGTGATTGGCATGACAACGAAAAACAAACACTCAGTCGAAGTCACGGCAACAGAAAAGGTCAGATATCGGGCCAGAGAACGAGCAACCTAGTACAGGTGTTGACCAGCCCAAACACTGATTCTTCCACCGTCTACAATTTCACTAGTTCAATGAACATATTTCTTGAGACCGATCACTCGGTGTTCTACCTTGTTTCAAGCGATCATCCAGTCAGACAGTGCCCCAAGTTGTTCGGGTCTTGTGGATAACGCGTTGAGTTTCAATCGAAAAATCATTGAACGATTACCCAATTACATACAGTACTGAAATCTCCAATAAGACTTCAATATAGAACACTTCCCAACCGCATCCAGTCACTTGAGACCTTGCACGAAAACGATACCCTGAAATCGAAACCGTTCAGCTATAGCACCCTTTCAATGCCTAACTGCAACGCCACCAGAAGGGGAACGAGTGTTGGAATACAGCCAGGTTACCCGAGCTTAGACAGGTGAAGTCGAGAGGAAGAGGTCGGGTTCGAATCATGGACAATCCGGGCAGTAAATTCGCGCTCTAACCACTGAGCCATCTCTCCCCAAACCGTCCAGCTCTAACACCCTTCCGGTGCCTTGCTGATGTGTCACCCACAGGAAACCCGAGGGCTGGGATACTAGGCCGTGGAAATCGAGAGGCAGAGGTCGGGTTCGAATCACGGACCTTCCGATCGATAACTCCGCTCTCTAACCACTGAGCTACTTCACCCGCAAAAGGATGCCATTTGAAAGCCGGCTCGCAAACTTCCAATAATGACCACCTCAGAATTCCCTGAGAAGCTATGTCCTTTCGCAGTAAAGACCAGCGTACGGAATCCCTCTGAGGTCCTAGCGCGTCAAATAGGTATGGGCACAGCGCACTGACAACGTCTCCTCGACTAAGAACTTCGAAGCTAACGGGCATTTGTCAGCCACTGGTAAACACATTTACGGTCACAGATTCGTTTAAATGTGGTCGAATTTTCCAAACGTCGTTTTTCAACTTCACCTACGGTTGAATCTAAAATGACTATATGGTAATTCCCCTATTCATTTGCTTGCTCCGCCTATGTACTTCTGAGGAGCCCATTAGCTGCACAATGTTCTTAACTGCAAACACTTCACGAGTGGAGTACAACTTTTTTGCGCCAAAATGTTGTATTTTGTTGTTCAAACCAAAATGCACTTTCATATTTTCGCGGCTCACCAAATTTCATTGCCCACTGGAGCAATCATAACTCCGGCGGAAATGTCTGATGCAATAATTTCCCAGCATCGCTGAGCCCCTGGGATGCCTAAATAGGGCTCCAAAGTTTGGACTGGTACTCTCAACTTAGTTGCCTGATTGCCTTGGTCCATCAGGGACACGTTGTAGCTTTCGAAAATTCAATTCCGTTATGCGAATACTGAGCGCCTACTTGTGACTCCAGTTGTTTTGCTTATCCGTATCGACCACTCACCTTGTCGCAGAGGCCGTCCTGTCCGACACTTGTGTAACTGACATGTGTGTGCGTGTGTGTGAATGTGCGCTGCTGAGCTACTTACCCATGGGCCGTACTAACCCTTTGTAAATAGTGCCGTAGAATTTCGAACCCAACTCTTCCTTTTGATACTCGGGATTGTCCAACCTACGCGTCACTCGAAGTTCCGTATCGGGAACCTCAACAAAAGCTTCCCACAAGAAAAGTAGGGAACAGTTTTGGGTGGCCGGTCGGGATTCTAGCACAACGTCCGGGGCAATAAAATCAGATTTTTGTGATCCACAAAAACCGCGAGTGAGCTGTACAAAATTGCGGGTGAGATGCTGTCGAGAACGAATGATTTGAATACTGAAAGGGAACATGTGAATGGGCTAATTGTCTGATAAAAAATGAAGCATCCTGCTTTAAAATACATACACTGTGTGTGATCAGGACTGACGAAGGTTAGCTCAACTCTCCAGTTGCATTGAAAGAATCCCACTGGAACGAAGAGGACGCTATGGGACTCATCGCGATCTTGGAACACCTGGTGGCATCCAAACTGGAGCACATGGTCGGTGACCGGCCCTAGCATAGAAGTTGACGAACAGGCCCTGTCAAAAGTGATATCCTTGCCACATTTCATTCTAATGCTTGAGGCATCCGGGTGTAAAGAGCCTGGCAAAAATATGAAAAACGTGATAAGAGATCTATCGGAGGCGTATTTGTGACTACTGTTCAGTCGCCAGTGTGAACTATGAGACTGATTGTTTCAGTTGTAAGAAGTCAGATGAAATACTGGCACTCTTAAACTCTATGGTACCATTGAGAACAGGTTTGAGTGTGCTGTGCAGGACCCTCAAAATTTCATGTGCCAATGATTCGTCTTCTTGGTTTTGTGATCAAACCAAGATATATCGCCAAATGGGCCAAGTGAAGATTTTATCTACTAAGCATTCGATTCTGTAGAACTTTGGGGAAGACTGAAGTTCACAAAAGAAGGCTTCCCAAGAAGGAGATTCTGCTACGGTGGACTGGTGACTACAAGTGGATCTTGAGGAACGCGACCGAAAGGTGGAATTATGAAACAGAATGTTTCGAACCCGTGACCTCCCTGCCAGTAGTTTGAAAACGTAACCGCTCGGTAGTGTGATTACCTTACATTTAGATAGGATATAGCACCGCTCGCCCTTCAATCACGGGATCCACATCCCATGTGTTAGCTGATTGGCTCTTCCAGTGACGGATTCCCGAACGGAAGTTTCACTCATCTTGTGAAACTATTCTTCCTCTGAGGCATGTATAGATTGATAGTAGTATGAGAATATTTGATACTTTTCAATCGGGATTTTGTCCTCTCAGTAAATAAACTTTGATGAAAATAACTTTTTTGAAAACTGGCCTTTTGTAACGGTAGGAATGAGTAAAAGACACGAATACTACCCGTAAGGTTACTAAAGACAGTTGGACAATCCTCGTATAAGCCCCCGTAAGGTACGCACAATCCCCGATTTGTGATCAGCCGTACGTTCTACTTGAATAACGAACTGTACAGACACCCCGTTGTTGCCAAGGTAAAGACAGATGTCTCTTAACGCTTACCACTCAAGTGTAATCACAGATGTGGGACGGAACTCGAGAGTCCGTTTATGCTGTGCAACTGAAAATGTAGTTATTTGATACCAAAATGTGCGCTAACAAGCATCTGAGCCTTTGACGGACCCTACTACTTGTGCTTAACCTGATACTCAATTTGAAAGATTAGACGTTTACAACCTTTGACGTGAGACAACAGTCAGCTACTGGAAACTTAGAGTTTTTCTCACAAGGCAGACTTTGACCACAGTTTCATCACCTTACACAATTTTTCTGCAACTTGAACTCTACCATCCATCCCGTCGATACTGGTCACGCTGGGAGAGGATCAGGAGTGCGTGCATCAGCGTGATATTGACTCAGAAGTACCAGCTATTTATCTATCTATCTATCTATCTATCTATCTATCTATCTATCTATCTATCTATCTATCTATCTATCTATCTATCTATCTATCTATCTATCTATCTATCTATCTATCTATCTATCTATCTATCTATCTATCTATCTATCTATCTATCTATCTATCTATCTATCTATCTATCTATCTATCTATCTATCTATCTATCTATCTATCTATCTATCTATCTATCTATCTATCTATCTATCTATCTATCTATCTATCTATCTATCTATCTATCTATCTATCTATCTATCTATCTATCTATCTATCTATCTATCTATCTACCTATCTGTCTATCTCCTAATGCGCACTTTACTTTGGCAGTCTTCCGCTTTTCTTTATCATTAGCGTGCTCTTAAACTGTAATTCTGTTTTATACCTGGATGAATATGCAAGTTAGATGGCCTTGTGACACAGCGACGATGCAGTGGATACAAATCGCGTGAGTCATTTCAAGTCAAAATCCATGCCCAATTCACAGTCAGATGTGTCCATTCAACGAATGGAAACAAGTGTATCAATACAACAATTTTGCTTGCCACGGTTTCGTACACACCCAACATGTATGTACTTGTATCTCTCCAGAAACACAGGATGGTGTGGTAAAATAAGCATGGCAGCCAAATTTTCTACTGTCGAGACAAATCCAATTGACCATGTGTTGTGAAGACCAGTTTAGTGTCCCCATTTCAGAAATTGCTCCTGATATTATACTGGGGAAGCTGCGACGTCTCGTGTACATAGGGTGTCAGTTGATGAGAGCTTGCGCGTTGTATCCGATGCTGGCTGGAGACTAGTGCCCAGTAGCTTAGGGAGACAAGCGGGCTTTATGGATTCTTCAACTTCCGATAGCCATCGCCGGGATCATGGTCCTAGCGGGACATCGAGGCAGATGTATGGACGAAGGTGTCAGTATGCCGTTTCGTTATAGGTAAGCTGACTGTTTAATAGTTTAGTCTGGTTTGGTGTTCGTTTATCAGATAGCATGAAAAATCACACACTGCCCTGCATAAAGTGGCTGAACTTGTCGGATTAATTGCGCATAGCTTCAAAGCTGGCCTTGGCTAGCGGGCGACTGCAAACCACTAGTTTATACCAGCGCGTGATGATCGAGGTTTTTGGTTTTCTCTACCATTTCAATCGACCTTTCGTTCCGTAATTGATGCCAATCTATGCTGAAATCGCAACCTCCTGGCTAGTAGCAGAACACTAGAAAGCTTGTCTACGAGCGGCTGATCAGAACGTGGACAGGATATGGCGCCATCCGTCCTTCAGTCACGTGATCCACATCACGTGGCCACATGTATTGACTGGCTCCTCGAGTGGCGACTTCTCAGATAAAGGTCACACACAGCTTGTGGATGGTTCCCACTCCCAAAGTGACATTTTTCACCTGTATAACATTTTATTCAGCACACCGTGAAGAAATGATGGTTAGATGTGGGCAATATAAAACCCACTATTAAGCCGACTTCGTCACGCAGTGATTGTGATCCTTTTGGGCGAGGAGGGAGTCCAAAATATCTATTTAAAAAAGTGATCGTTTGGAAAGTTTAGGGAACTGTCATTTTAAATCATGCGTTTTTGGATGAATTCTTAAACGGCGTCTGACAACGTCATAATTAAGAAGGACAGTCTAAAGAAGGGTCATTTCAGAGGAGAATACACTATGTGAGAATTCTGGAGTTGACGGACATTGAGTGGACTAGCTAAGAACCGCAAGTTGCAATTATACCCTCTTTGGCAGGAGAAGTGTTATTGGACCTTCTGCTCTTCAGAAGCAGCCTCATAATTTCCCGCCCGCAAACGTACTTAGACCCTCTCATACTTATATGCTCTAATCGTTTTTGCAAACAAATAAATAAATCCTAATACGACTGAGTTATTCATTGCTACCAGTCGAACGAAAGCAATGAAGCATTAGAACCGCATACGGATCCCGTATATGCTCTAATCGTTTTTGCAAACAAATCCTAATAAGACTGAGTTATTCATTGCTACCAGTCGAACGAAAGCAATGAAGCATTAGAACCGCATACGGATCCCGCTTTACCGCTCGCCGTCAGGTGCTGCTACGGGCGCACAAGATTGGCAAAAAGTCGGGACGCTTGCCGGTCCAGCATCAAGCTGAGATCTAATTGGTCGAAAGTCCCGACCCAACAGCCAATCATGGCCCAGTATTGGCCGAATGCAGGTTGCTGATGCCGCATCCAGAAGGCGTCAGAATATCCAGAAGTTTGTCGCCACCATAAATATATACATATATATAATATGATGCGCTGTACAAGTGTTCTTGACTTTGTTTTGGGAGTTAATATACCTTGTGCACCTTTGGTGGTTGTTTTGACGTGAACGCTAAATTGAGGGATCGAACCGAGAACTAAGCTGAGGAAAATACCTTTACTACAGTTGGCGATGGAGGGTCTTTATCTTCACCATAAGTGTAGCAATACATACTTCCCAGATGTTGGCATAATTGTTTAATTAACTAAGCTTCCACTTAAAATACCTGGTGCGAGCACGGTAACTAGTTTCGTGTCCCATAGGCGTGACTCGTCCCGATAATTAGGACAGTTACTGGGTCGTCGTTCGAGATACCAGGAAAACTAGTTATTTCGCTCAGCTTTGAGCATTGTCAACTATTCGAACGTGAAAATTCGGAGGTCCAGAGTGCCGTGTTGAGTGCTGGTAACACGTTCGCTCCGCATGTCAGATGTCCAGTGTTCAAACTCCTACCCGACCACTCACTGCTGATGAAATCAAATAAGAGCCAAATTTGAATCCCTTGCTTCGTTACTCCTTCTTTGCTATCAACCCATCAGTATATTTGCACACCGGGATAGAAACAGTGGTGTAGACAAAAATTTTACAAATGCAACAACTAGCTCCAGCTAACCGAGCAACATTTATTGTCCAGGGTGCTTATCCTGCAATCTGTGTTCAGCTCACGCTTTCCTAACGGACATGCTCTGTTTGTTCTGTATCCAAGTAAACTTTATTCGATTGGACTACGTTGAACCTTACACAAAATAACAAAATTTACCCTAGTGCTGAGATAATTATTTTGTTTGCTTCGTTTACTCGTTTCCGAAAGTTCGTCTATTTGTCCAGAAGTTGGTTGCGTGTTTTTGACCAACTTTAAAAGTCGTGTCCAAATTTTCGTTCTGCGCGTTGAGCAGTCCTGTCGTTTCTGTATTTGTCTCTCGTGAATCTGGTCGATTTTAGCACGCGCGCACACTTCACGGACGACGTAATAATGTTTCTCTGCTAGCACTGGATCGATTTCATCTGAAACTAGTCACAACTCATTCACAAAGTGTCGTGCACGCGTTAGCTGCGATGGGAGATCGATAGCTTATTGATCGCCGGTGTTGTATTCCAGAGACCATGATTCAAAAGTGGAACAGTTGAGCGAGTAGTTTTATTGATGGCTTTAAAGGTGAATAATTGAATGACCGAACAAAATGTTGGCTGCAGGACACAAGTGACATGTGAACCACTTGCGAATACAGGACGCGTGCTGAACGTTTTGTTTTTCGATGAGTCAGCTGATCTCCTTATCGATCAGTTAACCAGGCCAAAGGCATTAACCCACAGCTACACGTTAATCCGCGCGTTCGTTCAACCGCAGTTGAATGCACGAACCTGACATCCTGGTATAAACGGGTGAAGCTACCAGGACAAACAATAGGGTCGTCCGATAACTCAAACTGACGTGTGATATAGCGAATCACTCATTCGGATGTGATCGTCATCGTCAGGAGTGACACGATTTTTCAGGAAAACCCTAAACCTAACCGTGGTATGCACATCGCGTCAAGCCTTCCAACAGACACTATTTATGAAGTTCAATTGCTTAGAAAACATAATCCCACTGAATTAGCGAATATACACTCATTTCCAAACTATTTGATTTTTTCGAGAGACTCACCTGAAACCCAGCTGAATCTCTCGTTAATGATGTTCTCAGGCAACTGAATGTGCTGCACACAGGCCGCCTCATGTTCCAGTCGCTACGATATGCGAGATATCGCGATACATTTATATCTTCGTAATGTACTACACATAGGGTTGCTGAAAACTCTTCGACAGCCCACGGCCGGTTTCGCAATTCTTGGGGCTCATCAGATAGGCGCAGTAGAACAAGTAGAACATAAGGTTGACGGAAACTCGGGGACTGCACCTACCTGATGAGGCCGAAGAATGGCGAAACCGGTCGTGGGCTGTCGACGGATTTTCAGCAACCTTATGAGTAGTGCATTACAAAGATAATCCCATTAAGATTATTTCTGAGAGCGCAAATGGCATGCGAGTCTTACTGACATTCATAACCTCCTACCCTACTGTTGGCGAGGGGGCAACAGAACTATTTCAACAATTTAGTTGACCAAAGACATCACCTTCGTTTGAACAGTGCTTCTTCTGTTCTGATTCAATCATACTGGTGAGTCCACCCCAAAGCACCCAAGCTTCAATCTGATTAAGGCCCATCAGCCTCGTCGGGGTCTGACATCTGACATCTGACACGTGAGGCAATCGTGTTACCAGTGCTCTTCCAGAGCACGCTGAACGCCTCTGAATTTTCACGTCTGAGTGAGCAACACGCTTGAGAGAAGTGGCTGATTTTCCCAACGCCTCGACGCCTCGTGCTGTCTAAATAACACCCACACTACATTTCAGCCACTGACAGAGTCCACGATTTCGATCATGGTGTTGCTGAACTTTCCTCGGTTGAAACTTCCCTGACCTCAACAGTCAAGGTAATACTAGCTCAAATGAAGGGACTTCCATCTGAGAAGTCGTCACTCGAGGAGCCAGTCAATATGTGACCACGTGATGTGGTCTCAGTGATTTAAGAATGAGTAACGCGATATCCTTTCTAAGTGAGAGCTACTCACACCTGTGTGCAGGTCCGCATAGCCCACTGGTTAATTGTTCAAACCGCTCGCAGAGAGGTTCCGGGTTGGAAACTCCAAAACAGAGTTGTCGTGAGTTTCGCATCGCTGATGATTCCAAATAAAACAGCTGTAAAGTGCATCTCGGCTTTTCACCTCGGCTTCACTTAACTAACAATAACACCACTACGGATTTTGAATCTCTTCACGCTAGCAACCATTCCAGAAAGATTCAAATATGCTGACACCGTCAAAAGTGAAAAATATAAAGTCTTCACTACTAAGGACGGTCAATTATTTTCAGGTAAAATATATATAGAATGAATGACGTAATTCACAACTCACAAGGTTGCTGAAAACTCTTTGTCAGCCCACGACCAGTTTCGCCTTTTTCGGGGCTCACCAGGTAGGCGCAGTCCCCGAGTTCCCATCAACTTTTATGATGTTGTTAGCAACATCATTAACGAGAGATTCAGCTGGCTTTCAGGTGTTTCCTCTCAAGATTAAATTAGTATCCAAATGGGTGTAGTTCGCTAATGATGTCACATGGTTTCAAAACAACGAAAGTCGGTGATGTTTTTACCCCGAACAACGTAAGTGAATTTCTTAAGTGCCCTTTCCTATGACTCTCCGTTTATGGTTTCTTGTGCACAGTAATTACGGCGAAGGTGTTCAGAGTTTACCACTGATTCACCTGCACCCGAAACTCGGACTCGAAACTCAAGTGACCCAACTACGTCGACAAAGTATTGAACACCTCACGCTTCGAACAGTGCTTTTTTCACGAACCGTTTGATGACTCATGCGAAGAAACTTGGAGAAGCAAGCATAAATGCATGCTGATTATTCGCAGCTTAGGCGCATGTGTGAGATATGAGCGACGTTTGATTACTTTTGTGCTTGATTGTTTTATCGACCGAACTGCTCAGCACTACCAACCCACATGAGTGATTTTCAGGGGGGCTGTTCAAACCCCGTTTTGCTTTCACCTCGTGCACTCATGACCTAGTTATCGGTCAAAGCAAACTGATGGAATTCTGTTTGGTCGTGGTTGGAAATATCTCACGGAATTCGAAAAAATGGGATAGAATGTTCGTTCCTAAACTTTCGAAATTTCGGTAACAAATAATCGTTCGACATGTCTAGCTGACACACCAGATTGGTCAAGCCTTAACCACTGAGCTACCTCGTTTCAGAACGTTATTTTCTCCCTTTTGAAGGCAAATTAAAGTGCGACTTTTTTTGTGGTTTGTCTGCTTATCTTTCAAGACTGACTGATGTGAGCTACTGCAGGTTTATCCCAGACAACAGCCTCATTTGGCAAATTTCGTACTTTTATTTGCCGACGATAAAGATGATTCTCCCGGAAGTTACACTACACGTGGAGGCGTCAAATGGTTCACATCAGTAGGTATTGGAAGACAAGTGGTAACAACATGCCCGGTTGACTGATTTGTATCCGCGTGCTAGACCCACTAACATGAAGTGTGGGGAGGGGCGGACGAACGTTTCTCACACGACGATGCCTAGTGTGCGGTTCCCGCGTGAGAATGCGACATACGAATGGGTAATCGGGAAACTGAGCGAAATGATCAGCCGAGATATGTCCGTGACTAATTAACGGTGCATGGTGGCTTGAGTGTGCAGAAAAGATCGACCCTGTTAGGACAATCCATTGGAATTCATCAGGTGAGTTTGATGGCTTTGGCCGCCCGATTATCATGTTTGTAGTCTACACTCTTAACTCACCTGTGGGAATGACATGTATGGCAGTGTTGGCTTCCCAGATTAGCCCAAATTCGCTGCGGATCTGACCATTTATTTGACGGTAACGATGCTAACAGCTCACCGACAAGCAACAGATTGCACGCTTGGGTTTTTGGTAGGTGATACACCTGATGGTGTTTGTCCTGCAAAAGCGATCTGTTACGTTCTCCGTACTAGACGAGTCTCATTAAGTGGACTGCACGTCCAGAGTTAACACCAGACATCCCACCTTATTCGTGAACTCATTTATGTGGCAACAGGGAATGTGGGATGACACGTATGGCCAGCTCAGTGAACTGAGTATGTGCAGGTAACGAAAAACAAGCTCCCACAATAAGTTCGCATGAATCTACGGTCACACGTCACAACCTCCAGGGCCATCAAGCCGACACACTTGCCAAGATGCCACGACAGTCAAATGGCACTCCGTTTACAATAAGGCCTGCGGTAGACGCTCCGACTCTATCCTAGTCCTTAAGATCTAGGCTCGCTCCACACTCTTGAAATTTGAAATTTGAAATTACGACATTGATTTTCCCGTTTGGTTATTCGTCCTCGCGATCAAAGGTTAGGAAAAACTGACGGAAAAGGTAAGCTCGCAGTTCACTTTGAATGACCATCGAAATACCAATGATTTCTCTCATACAAGATGTGCTCTTTGAGGGGCCCTTCAGAATTCAATCAATGACAAGACAAACGCACTGTCTTGCAGAAGGACCAATCAAAACCACCGTTTTTAAGGAAAGGTAGGGCTGCAATCCGTTGCCCAACTCTTCTTAGAAATTCAGCTTTCCCGAGGCAATTCACAGTTACTTGCCTCTCCTGATTGTAACCAGAAGTAACACGCATGAGTAAAAATAGTAAGCTTATTGTGATCACAAAGGTATACTACTCTTAAAGTCACTGAAATCTCTTCGATAGAGCAAAACTGGTTTTTCCTCCGTTGGTAGACGCAGTTCTGGAGTTTTTGTCAGCCTCGTGTCCTATTTGGACCCAAATTGAAGTATATTCACGAAATACGCAAAATTTGCACACCAATTTGATTTTAACAGGAGACCCGAATGAATCCCTCGTTTATGCTAGCTTTCCAACAAAGGTGCTTCACAATAGCCGTCTCATGTTTCAGTTGACACGACATTTGTGATATCACAGGATATTGTCCAGACGGAACACATTACTCACAAGTTTGCTGGAAATTCTACGACAGCCCACGACCAGTTTCACCCTTCTTGGAGGTTCTGTCCACTTCATGTTCTACTTGAACACCGAACTAGAATAAACTCGTTACATCGGTAGGAACAACAGGCGGGAATTCAGCTCTATCCTGTTGAAAACAAACTGGTGTGTGGATCAGTTTATTTTTCGTCGCTCATGCTCACCGTACAGGGTTGTGTGACGCTGAGGCCTCTGTTTAACTACCACTGGCTTCTACTGTTAGATTTTTCACTAGGAAAGAGTACCAAATTACGCAGACTTGACACAAAAAACAAGTGACGTCAATCACGTACACGTTATCTGGCGTCAATGATTCTCACAACTGTTTCAGTCAATCAGCTTTGCGACAGCTCAAGCAGCGAGATTCCGTTTCCTGGCTGAAATCACCTGTGAAGCATTCAAAAACTGCCGTCTCCTCCAAACCGTCTTGTTTCAGATTTCAGTATTATTTGATGAGCAATATTGGACCTCGACATGGTATCGCTTTAAGATTTTGTCAAAACCATTTTTCTCGTTGTGAGTTTTGTTTGGAGTCGCAGTTTTTTCATCATCGTTTCTTTCTACGTTTACTTTCAAGGAGCTCAAGAATTCAGTCCAAAAAAGGCGTGAGGGTGAATTCCGTCAGTCAATTTGGTTGAATTATTTGAGCTGCAGCTAGCTCATTGGTTAATCACTGGCAGAAGGGTTCGTGGTTCGAACCCAATCCCCCGGGTATCTCGACTGCTCCAGTCTAGATTTTGGAATCCTAGCAGTATCTCATCACTCGTGCTTATTTCAGCTGGGCTGACAGCTAGGCACCGAAAACGTACTACAACTGAAAGATTATTTTTAATCGAGTTGGGGTAACCTACATCCTTACTTGCTGTGACCTTGAATAGCTTTACTGAGTCCGTCATGAGGTAACTTATTCCTTTTTTCGAAAAAAGGTCCAAAATATCGACTTTGAACTCCCGTAATCAAACTATTGTGCATTATAATCCCCCGTTTGAGTCGGTGAACAAAGGGATTGTGTAGTGTCATCTGTCCTTCGACCTCCCCAATACGTTACTCACACTCGAAACTAAAGCAGAAGTGCATTACCGCTACTGGTAGAACAAAAAACCGGCGATCATTTTACTGACTATAGAGCAAACTCAATTTCTGGTTGTCTGTGGACGTCCCCCATTCTTGTTTGTCACTGTCACTCTTGAGTTACTCACCCTTCTTCAATTACCTTCATCTATCATCCAAGTTAACGTTGTGTCGAGCAGTTCATTCGCATTGTGAACTGGACCTTGTTTCATGATAACAAAGTTGTCCATAGCTTTGGATCGGTCGTATCTGGTAGTACCTCGCGATCTAACATTTGCATTATCACCTCAGCCTTAAATCATGCTATTGGAGATCCCATTACAGTCCCTTTCACCTGTTGATATGTTTTTCCATCAAAGCAAAGTGTGTATCTATGCATAAGTCCAACAGCCTGCATAGACTTCCGGGTTCCGTGATTCCTGTAGTGTTTGGATTATTCCGAAGCAGTTCTGCTATGGTCGCCTCATGTTTCAGTTGACACGATATTCGAGATATCGCAGTTGCGTCTTCAGTTGAGTCCCTCGTGAAAACCGAGTAGATTTGCAAATGAGTGTATTCCTCGGGAACAGTCCCATGTGGGTTCAAGTAGATCGTAAGGTCGACGGAAACTCGGGGACTGCACCTACCTGATGAGCCCGAAGAAGGGCGAAACCGGCCGTGGGCTGTCGACGGATTTTCAGCAACCTTGTGAGTAGTTTCTCTTATGAAAATAGCCTTATTAAACGTAGAACGTGATGCATGTTTGCGTTGACTCCCTACAGGGAGAACTAGATACCCTCGTGAAAATCTGTTGGAGTTTGCCTAGTTTCCAATCTAGAACTATAGCTACCATAGACCTATTCGTAATGCACTACTTATAACGTTGCTGAAAATTTTTCGACGTTCCGTTCTGGAGGGAATAAGTCTTGAGTATCACGAATGAAAATATCATTCTACATTGAATGTGTTCGCCAAATTTGTTCCGGAATCAATGCCGCTGGTAGACGAATATCTAAGTGTTCAACCTACTAGCCGAGAGCTTGTGGGTTCTCACTGGATTTTAGCGAGATGTGCACTGGTGATAATCCCTACTTAAGGATAAAACAGCTTTACAGTGCTTTTTGACTTTCCAACGTGGATTGATTTTACCGATTAGACAAAATTTCAATTGGAAAATAACCAAAAATTGACTGATGATCCTCAATATGGGGATGTCCTTTAACTTGATGATATTTCCCAACGAACTCGACTTCAGAGAAAAAACAACCGGTTAAATTCGATCCATTAGTTCTAAATTAATTAGTCGCTGAATTAATAACTCTGAAAAGAGAATTCCTCTCGGTTGTGTAAAGCTTAAACATGCACTGGCCTCGGGGAAGGAAGAAATTCGCTGAACCGACAAAATGATAATCAATAAGGCAAAAAAACAGGTGACAAAAATTCACGATTCTCCCGTTTTTATATAAACTGGGTCGATATTTTACCGTGTCATTGGCTCAACCAATCTCCTTTTCCAAGTGTTCTAGGAAAATCCTGGGAAGCCCACACATTCCCTCTTCATCCAGAGAACTTTTGAGTTTTCGAAAGGTTTTTCGAATTCGTTTGCAACACCTGTCACCCATCGTTGAAGGAATATTGGTTTCCCTTCTCCATCTATGATCTTGACAAAGATGTGCTAGCTAACCCACCAAAAAAGTAAGCAGTGTGTTCACTAAAGCGGCTCGGAGAACATCGACTGGAGTATCTCAATGGACGGTCTGTTCGCCGAGTTTGGCAGTTGAACAACAACACCAGTTTCAACACCAGTCGAGGTGACATCATCAGTGCGAGGTCAAAAAATGGGCGAGAGAACGCCACACCTCCAAAACAATCGATGGCACGGACAAAACATGTTTGATCTAGTCGTGTCGATGAGTCGGTAAACCTTCAACAAGTTTCACTCGAAAAGAGGACACCACTATGAAGCGAAAGGGTGAGAAGCAAGTTCTCAACAAGACTGAAAATCACTGCCGATGCCCCCTTGTTTTAACAGCTTTGTCACCCAGCGGCCCAGTGAACAGCAGAATCCTTTTGGAGTGTGACTTTACTGCTGACCGACATCCGTGTAATTCAGTCCTGATCGTCACACCGATAATAGGGAACTACTTGCGCACGTTTATCTTAGAAATGCTCCTTTTGAAAATCCAAAGGGACGCCATTTGTGTCACACGCTGCGCGTACTTTGGCACTTTTCACAATTTCAGACTGATTTTTGCAGAGTCATCAGAATCTCGAAGTTTTGAAAAATTCTTGTGAGGCCAGTGACACAAAAACCGTGTTTCTTAGTGCTCCTAAGGATTTGTGACTTCCTGGAATTTCGTGAGATGCGCACCGCTGACGATTCCGAATAAGGACGAAACATATCTGCAGTACTTTCCGCATGGACTGCCTTCAGTTACAGGACAAAAGTTCCATTGAAGAGTATTCCAGTAGTCTGCGGATATTCCTGATTAGAGTTCCATATCGTGTTTCCAAGTATGGTGGAGAATACGAAAAAACTACCCTTTAAGGAAGCTATAACACTTATTGCGCAATCAATCGAAATCTTGGTAGCTCAGGGTGTGCAAATGGCTGTTGATCTTTTCGCTAATCGTCGCCGGCGGAGCCGGATTCGTCAGAGCGTTCCAATCTGCGCACAACCAAACCAAACGTCAGAAGAACGGGTCTAATGGCAATAACGGCGACTGTATAACCTACAAGTCATGTGGAATGGGTCAGAGAGGTCGAACTACATCAGATGTAGCTGGATTTCAGTTCACCCGCGCTTGGTGGCCTAGATGGGCTTGTCTTGTGCCGTTGTCGCCCTTGAATCGACGAAACAAGTATGGATCATTTTTATTGGTTAAATGGATCGGATTTGATTGAAATCTACCGCAGACCACGATAAAGCGTTCCGAATAACCGTTGTTCGACGAGGACGTATGAACTATTGGAGAACTGAAGTTCCTGAACTTTCATTGCTCTCACGCAGGGATCTGTCGGTTTTTTAACACCAAGTATGTTACCTACATTCAGTCTCGTCTCGAAGCTTCCCCGCCATCGATTTGTCTGCCGGCGATATCCAGCTGCCTGAATATAAACAGCGGACGATTTAAAGGATCGCTGTATCGATTTAGAAGGTTGTGCAATGACATGAAGTGATCTCACTCGAAGATTGCTCTTCGGTGGCCCTGGACCGGCTTCCTCGAGATTGATTAAACGCAGTCCACGAGTGTCCGTTCAATCAGCCTCATTTTTTGTTTGAATTCAAAGTGTACGAAATTCATGAAATTTGTACATCAGTTGGTTCTCACTGGAGACTCAGCTGAATCCCTGATGGTCATCAACTTGATCAGCTGCACAAAGGCCATCTTGTATTACAGTAGGTGGAATATTCGGGATATTTCAATACGTTTTCTAGATATAGCGCAATGATGAATCCCACGCTCGGTTTCGACCAATCTAGGCCTCGTCGGGTAGGCACTATTCTCCAGTTCCCATCAAGCGACTCATCGATCTGAAAGGAAAAAGTATGATAGGCTGACGCCCGAACCAAGCTTCGAAGAGGCTCCCAAACTGTAGTGTGTTTCGCTTTAGGTGTCCTGTGCATTTCACCCAGTCCGGTGATAATCAGCGCTTACCTTTCTGTGTTGCTTTGCGACAATCGATTAGCTGCGCACCATCCCAAAACCGGTCCGGATGGGAAGCTTTTGGCATTGTCCGGCACACAGTGTACGACTATTCAAGGGTGTTTGTCCACGCGATGTTCACAAAAGGCATATTTTCCCCCACAAACTCGTTATCTATTCGCCGGCCTCAAAAACGAAAAACAAACTCAACTCATGCGGCAGGTGCTTGCTTTCCGTGGTTTAAGGCTTTCTAAGCTATTTCTAGCTTTTTCACGCCTTGGGCAGGGTACTCTGCGCCGAAGCATTCCAAATTTCCTCTAAGTCAGCGTATTGTGTAAAACCAGCGTCAAGGCTAGATGAAGGCACGGATGATTGATCGATTCTGTCGAAGCTGACTTGCAACGGCAAATTCTGCGCCGCTCTTTCTCTCTGTTGAACTGTCACGTTCAAGGCGGCAACCCTGGTTAAATGTACAAACTCGCATGCCCCAGGTTGTAAGTAGAACCACAATGTTTTCTGATCTACGTTTTTGTCTTGCATTCAGAACGAATAAGCACTAGTGTGTGCTAGCGTTTGAAACGCACCAATGGCTGGTAAACTGCTACAAACGATCAATGAACTTAGCCACACGTTTCAATTCACTTCTTTCAAAGTAGATAGAACAGAGAGAAAAGACTGTCGAAGAACCGTGATAAGTTGGAGCTATCCTGAATTTTCATGAAACCCATGAGGACGACAATAGGCAATGAGCGCGATTTGTGAAAGTTCATGCAAGTTAAAGTAAGATACGCATAACTACGAGCAGCCCGAGGAGTGGAGGGTGATTCAGACCACGTGAATCGACGCATCGCTTTGGGTTACCACACGATATCACAGGTTTCATTGTTGATTATTGAGCAGGTATTCCCAGGGACAGGACTCATAGGATTCACAAACAGCCCACACCGACGTCAATCAGTAGGAAGTCAGTTTGCAAGTGTACAGTTTCTCAAAGCATGCCTGTGTACAATAGAAAGCCGCGGATCGCAATACGCGGAAGCCCATGGTACACTTGAAGAGATGAAATCTGTGCGTGATCGTGTGCAGACCTGTCGCAAACCAGCCGTCAACCTAAAAATGATAGTATAGCAATGAAACCGGCACCAACTACCTTTTTATTACCGAGGTGTTGGAATTATTTGTCAATCCCTTTAGTTTTCAACTTAATACCACACCCCTCTGCATATGAGGTGTGTGAGTGCAACCGGAATATGTGTGTCTGTAGGCACCCCATGAAACTCGCGGTTTGTGAAAAAAACCTACGTGGGTTCTGGGTCGCACCTGTCAGGTTGGTTAGTGAGTAGGCGAGTGACCCAAGAGATCTGCCAAGAGATGGACAGCTGCATGGTTCGGACTACGTTGGGGGGGTGAGCTCAGTTCTTTTCCAATATTGCAAAGCGCGGTGTGTCAAAGTGTCCCACGCCTGAGGGGACCGCCATTTTCCATGTTGCTCTTTGGTCTGCCAGGATCTACCAAGACCCACAGTGTCTAAGTAGCGGAAGTTCGTCTCTCTCAAATTTCGGACTCGGTTCTCCATTCATTTCAAATGAATAATTAACGGAGCTGGTTTCACTACATTCAACTCCAACAGTGTTTTTTGTCGGCACACATTGGTTTCGGGGGGTTCGGTTCTTTAGTGTGATCCGAAGCTTTTACGCAGGCATGGCACGTGAAATAGGTCGAGAACCCAGGCATGCCGTCCGTATAACGTCCAGGTCTTTCTGGTAGTGAAGACGACACGGTGCGCTGCGATCTTGGTGTCTTTGCACAAATGATGGTTGATCCCGACGCGATTCTCTGGAGCGAGGCGCCGGTGACCCGAACGCCACAATCAGGTAATGTGATTCCATTTGGGAGTGCGGAAGTAAGGCACAGTCTTTAGCGAACTACACTCATTTACAAACAAATTTGGTTTTGCGAGAGACTCGCCCGGAACCCCGCTGAATCTCTCGGTTTTGATGTTTCCAGGCAACTGAATGTGCTGCACCAGGCCACCTCATGTTTCAGTCGCTACGATATTCGAGATATCGCGATACCTATATGTATTTTTGTAATGCACTACTCATAAGTTTGCTGAGGAGTCGTCAAGGGGTTTTGGGCAACCTTATGAGTAGTGCATAAGGCACAGTCTTCTTCAAACAGCAACAGCAGCCGGACAATGAACTTGCAGAACTGTGTTTTGTACAGGAACAGCTCTCAACATGAAAGTATAAACGTCTGAGCAGATGGTTTATCTTGAAAACGACTGGGCCAAAAACACCGCCCTACCTCAGTTCGGTGTCGAATAAGGGGTGGTTCCAAATAGTTCCGCATACCCATGCCCGGACTTCCAACCCGATGTGAATGGCTTTGATGAGGGTGACAGATCCATCTGGACAGCTAGGACGATCCACAGTACTTCTCCGATGACTTAGTAAAAGGCTTTGTTGAACCTCGTCCCTACGGTAATTGATTCCGTTCGGAACATCTATCATGAATTTCTCTTGAATTTGTCATCGTCATCGGACCCCTTGAAATCCACACTATTCTTCACTAAGATTGCCCTCTAAAATGTCACTGTTAAGCAGGAGACTGATTTCGTGTTAGTTGCTCATCATCTGTTGCTTTCTTATCCATTTATTGTTACATTCTTCAAGTCTTTTGGAGAGCCTTCTACACCCCAAATTCTGCATATCAGATGAATTTCGTTCGATAGTATCTGTTCCCACAGTATGAACAATTCTGCTGGCAAGCCATCCAACTCCGCTTCTCCCATATTTCGAAACTGGTTTATGACACCTGGCAGTCCTGAGGTGATACGCAAGTCAGCCAAGAAGGTTTTCACTATGTGTTGGGTCAAGTGGGCTGTATAACTTAGTTCGTCATCTTCCGGCCGCTTGAGTAGCAAGGAAAAGTGGCAGTTCCCCGTGAATTTGATTTGATTTGTTCCCACTTTGCGGCCTTGATAGTTTTACCAAACTTCGTTTGATGTACCGACATTCCTCAATTCGTTCTGACGTGTTTTGCTCTCGCACAAAATCCACATTCCAAGAACAGTCTTATGTATGAGCTTCATGTTTGCCAAAGGAACTCCTCGCATTCAGTTTTGACACCTATGCACAGCAGTGGCGGCTCACTTAGGTGTCGTTCATACAGGTATGAGCCAGTTTTATCCGTTATCGACCCAACGGATTTGAATCGTGCTGCTCCCAAGCGGAATTCTACAAATCGTGTGATGCACACATGACTGAAAAATGATCGAAGATAATGTATGAATTCAGTGCCAAGGTAGTTGTTAGCACTACCTCGTATATAGTTTTGTGAATAAAACGCTGGAATGCCCCGGGTTGAGGGCAAACACATTTCGGAAATACAGTAGTTTATGTTCTGTGTTTGTCAGGACTTTCCGGCGAGGAAAGCCACGGGCGCCCTGCCCCAGGCGGTTGCGGGATTCGCTGAATTTGTGCCCAAATCACATTTTCTTAAATTGTTTCCAATCAACAGATCGGGGACAGTCTGATAGGTGTTTTGTGGCCCTGATCTAACTTAGTCAAAACCTGTTTACCCCGGGATAATTGATAGCTCATCTCAGATGCCGGAATAACGGGATTCCAGTCTCGGTACCGATGAGGATATGCACTGTTCATCAGCTCTACTGGGTAAGGCTCGAAGGTATTGCGTCCTCTTTCTGCCTAAAGCACTAGGAATAATTGTGTCTTGATAAGCTAAGGGCTGTTTGAACAACACTGATGTGAATATCTTATGAACCACAGTTTTCCCAATGCCTTCTTAATACCGCGAATCCGAGTCTGGACAGCCGCTTGATAGCCTGATGCGCTTGGGCAAACCAGAGAGCTGACCTAGTGAACACTGACGCATACAGGCTTGTCATGTGCAGCCAAAAACAGGCTGTTTATAAAGCTCCCGTGGAAAGTTCTAGAGGGGCCACAAAAAGATACTAAAAAGGACAATTAAAGAACAACCAGTTAAGTCTGTTTCGTCGAAAACAGTTATTCCATTGGCCGTTGTGTAGTGTACTTACATTCGCAGTTGGCTGTCCTAATACCTCTCCTTCGAAAGACTGAACAACGGTGAGGTTAATAGAAATTCATCCAATCTCATAAATGTGTGCTCTGAATCTGAAGTACCTAAGAAGAGGGACATCTGATAAATCAAAAGTGCAGGTCAGTCATACGGAAACTTCACGAGCGATAAGTTTTCACCCTTGAAGCAAAAGCGGTTGCAGGTCGAAATGTCTAGCTAGATCGGTAGGCTAGTGAGGGGTACCACAAAATCGTAAATCAGTGTCCGTTTGACCAGTTTTTCAGGGTCCATCACACTGTAGCACTGACTTTGGCTTGCGTTCACACCAAAAGAAACCTCCAGAGAATGGTCACGACGAAACAGAGTAAGGAGCCTTTTCATGGGGCTGTCATTCTGGGTACAGGCGCGAGACTCTTAAGCGACCACCAGGAACCTGATTTCATTCCGGAGGGTCTCGCAATACACACGAATTTGATTGTGACAGGAGACTCAACTGAATCCAGATGAATCCTTTGCTCATAATGGCTCGGTTCAACGGAATGTGCTGCACCCAGGCGCCTCATGTTTCAGTTTATACGACATTCTGGATATTGCAATGGGTTGTTATTTAAACGCAACACACTACTCACAGGGTCACTGAAAAAGCCTCGATGCCTTTTCTGCAAGGGAATCAATACACATCAGAGGCTTCAATGAGTGAATTCACATAGTCCGGACCCATGTTATCATAAAGGCATCAGTCGTTCTGTTTAGTTACTGACATCAAACAGAGGCCCGAATGCTGCTTGAGAGTCCATCACAAAACTTGTTACCGCCCGGTGTCTAGTATATGCGCCTTAGCATGCACACCGGTGAACCCTCTTAAGTGGCTATTTTCAATCAGGATCCTCTCGGGAATTTTCCTCCCTGAAGCGGTATTTTGAGTAAGTATAATTACTAAAGTAGCACGGGGTCCTCACCAATCGGTCGTCGGCTCATGATACCCACACACCCCGGAGGTGTCTTACAAAGGAGTTGCCAAACACAAAGAAAACCTATCCACAGGAAGTCAGCTACCAAACGATGTGTGCAATCGACGAATATACTACTCACAAAAGTTGCTGAACACTCTTCTACAGACCACGACCAGCTTCGCCCAAATTGGGGCTCGTCAGGAACGCGCAGTCCCTGAGTTTCCGTCAACCTTATGTAATACCTGAACCAAATTGCACGAAATTAGCGAAATACACTCAGTTGCAAACTAATTTGGGTTTTCGGGAGACTCACCTGGAACCCAGCCGAATCTCTCGTTTACTACCTTTTTCAGCAACCTTGTGAGTAATGCATACGTATGTTCACTGGAGTTCGTTTAGGGGTGACTTTTCGTCATCAAACACTGGGAAGTTACTCAAGCGTACCGAAGCCGTACAAGCAGTTCAGTTTGGTTGTGATTCCAATATGGCTGCTGATGATATTTTTCTAAAAATGATTAGCCTTCT